GAATCTTCCTAACCATGAATTAGACGTCGCAAGCAAGCTTGGCTCTTAGGAATATAAAATCACATCAACTTCTACCACAAAAACACTTTTGGTCAATAACGTCTCCTTTTTCTCTTCACAGAAAATTTGTAGACTCCGTGTAATAAGCAAGCAAAGCAAGGCAATTTGCACTTGCTAAGTAACACACAAGTGGTGTAATTCTGAATCTTATAGTTTGTTCCAAACATTTTGCTCATCTCTAAATTCCTATTATCTAAACTTCTGTTTCCTAGACAAACAGGATGTCTACTTAGAGATTTAGCAAGAAACAGCAATGATACGGAGCAAGCACATAGATACATATCTATGTATATACACACACATATACACACAGTAAATTAGCACCTACATTAAGTGCCAATTTACATACATGAAGGGAAGTGAGCAGTCTGGCAGATGGGGCCAGATCTTCAGCCTCTGAACGCTGACTGCTTATCTGCTAACCTGGAACAGGGAAACGTGACAAAAGCAAACTTGAGACTAAAAGTAAATCTAATACCAAGGAATGCTGCTGTAGAAAGACACGTGGCATGATGGCTTTGTATTCAGAGTAGAATCGTATTTAATACAATTAGAGTAATTACTTCAGTCTAGTCAGCCCTGGTTAAGTCTCCATTGGAGTTAATTAGCAAATGATGGTAAAATACTTTGAACATGCAAATGTTAAATACTTTCATTATTAATATTATTCTTGCAACTGCTGCAAGAGCAGGCAAGTCCAGGGTCCTTGGAATACTGCAATGCTGTAACAAGAAAAATAAGGCCAGTACGTTTTAGCTGCCTAGTTTAAACACAACACACTTCCTTGTTGTACGAACCAAGTATCTGCCTCAAATACAGAAAAACTCAGCCCCTACTTTACCACCAAGGAAATAACTTTGGTGATCCAACACAAACTAAAGAGCCACGTCCATCTCGCATCATCTAACACCAGCACATAAAGACTGAATATTTACAGAAAAGGGGGAATGAAAACTGCAAGATGGAAATAAAGAGGAGCAGGAGAAATCTACTTGCTGTACTTTGAACTTCTGTAACAGAATTAAAGGTCTTGTGCCCCTCCAGCACTGTCATGCAGAGTACTGAAACCCTGCGGGGTACCACAACTTTAGGCAAATACCCGAAAAAGATAAGAAAGCAATGACTGAAGGCATAAGGTAGAGGGAAGGAAATGAGACATTGAATTAAGAAAGGTTAAGGGGACTGGGTCATGTTTAGTCCTGCAAAACAAAGACTTAACTGCATGCAACTACATAAAAGAGGTTATAACAGAGAGTAACAACTGATTATTCTCACTAGTCTAAGACGGAACAAAAATAGTGAGATGAAGCCATAAAAAGGAAAATGAAGGCCTGAGAACCTTTATAATTCAAAGAGTGGAACAAGCAGCCCGAAGGCTGTAGAACACTCATCACTGAGGGTATTCAGGCTTAAGTAAACACCCATCTGTTAAAGAATAGTTTGTTATAATCGCTCCTGTTATGCAAAAAGGTGGAATGAGAGTCCCACCAAAGTCTGGAGATTGGATACCTACAATTTATTTCTTTCACGTTTTTCAAACGTTTATTCAGAACAACAAACATCTGGTTCTTAATCCCTCAATTAACACTGTTTCCAGCCCTAAAGAATTAGTCTTAGAATTCACGGAAAACAGTTTATTTGCTAGCAATGAAGAAAAACAAATTGCCTACAAACTTCTACATTGCTAATGGAGCAGTTTAATCGCCTTTTTTTTTTTTTGACATTTTCATTCAAAAAATAAAGAACAGAGTCTCGTCCCTGGGCAGAGACCTTTGCAGCAGCGTGTCAGCAGAGAATTACACAGCACTATAGACTCAGGCTCTCATTCATGGTACTGACCTCCTTTGAAGAGCACTCTGAGATCTAACGATGAAAAGTTCTGTAAAAAGTGCTAGATATTATCATTAGTATTCAGGAGGACAGAATTCTGTGGCTTGGGTGAATTCAAAGGGACCCGCTGGTACTTATGAAAGCCGATACAATTTTACAGAAGAAAATAGCTCTGATGGCAATGTTAATGTAGGCTGGCTGAACCAGGGAGGGGGCAGGCCATGCTTTTTGCCAACATCTCCCGGCAGGCTGTGCTGCAGACTTACTCAGTATCGTTGAACCAACCTAATGCCTGCTCACTTTTTGCTTTTAACATTTCTACAATGTAGTATTTTAATCTATTTCCAGCTACAAAAATAAGGTAGCATCTAAAATAACATCCTGATAAAGAAAACCGACATTATTGCTTGCAGTCTCAGAACCCTATGCATTCTGGCACTCCTGTCCTCGCTCTTCGTGCTAAGGAGGTTTCCTGGCTATGGCTGGCCACCAGAAGACGTTTATTCCACAAACACCTCTGTTACCACCTCTTACACCCTGCAGCTCAGCAGATTTGCACCCTGCTGCTTTCAGCTGCTGCAGAGAAATTAAATGGAATGGAAAGTCAATCACCAAATGTTCTAGTACTCTGGTTTTAAAGATGTCCCTGCTTGTAGGAGTGGAACATGCTGTTCATCAGTTTATTCGCCTGGTTTTGCCACTAGATGAATTTTAAGTAAACATCTTTTATTCTCACAAAACAGATTTTCAACGAGTAACCAACACAAACAACATGCATTACGATTCTAGCCAGCAATACAGACTCTCAATAATAGCTCTGTATGTCTGCTAGCTTTGGGGAGTCTAATTGACCACTATAATTTACTTCAAGGTTAGCATGATTTGGACAGCTCTTGAAAACATGTTTTTGTTACTACAGCCTTCTGTATACTTTTGCTGTGATCGGATCTTCTTTTTCTACCTACTGATTTCACCTTTTGTTCTGTGCAAGTAGTCCTAAGACATCAATTAGTAACATGAGGAACTGAGTCATTTCCCCTTACTCTCCGTAAAATCTCTAGTGATAATATTTCTTCATCAGCACATTCCAAGTTGATGGCTGCTTTACCTTTGCATCTTTCTACAATGAAGCTTTCTGCATTTCTTATTTGATGTCTAACCTTTTTTAAATTTGCAGTTGCATCTAACATATATTTGTTAGTGCTACTACGTATCATGGAATAACGTACTAAGGAGGAAAACGCACACCTCTATCTATTTAGTTTTAGAAGAAATAATTCTGAAAGCCTTGTTAAAAATTACATTGTAGCGTTTTGGAGTTGGTTTTAGGTTTTTGTGGTTTGTTTGGGTTTTTTTTAACAACACGCCATTCCAGACTGTTGTCTATTAATTTCCCCATGGTTACAGTGTACTTCAGATGACAATACACCTTCACATGGAGGCCAGGAAGACAGGTTTACCTTAACACTTAGAGTTGACAATGTATTGAACTCATCCAGTCCAAGCCACACAAGCCCTCCCCATTTACTCCTTGCTTTCCAAATTGCATCAAAAGTGTGTAGCTTCCTGTTCCTTCAGATCACTCTGGTATCAGTCAATTCAAAGATTTGTCATGTCTCTCTATCTAGGTCTTTACCACGGACAGGGAATAAGACACAACATGGTAGAAGAACCAGAGAAATAAAATTGCCATCATTTAAAAAAGAACAACAGCCAGAATGATAGAACACATTCTTACAGACAAGGCCAGAAAACTGCAACTTTCACATTTAACTTCTCGAGGGATGCCACAGCCAAATCGAATGGTACTACGTGTTACACACTTTGAAAGATCTTGTTCCAAACAATTTCCAGTAATAAAAACCCACAGCTTAACTAACCTTTGGTGATGGAAAAACCACAGCTAGGCTGGTATCTTCTGCGCTTGATTTCTACTGACAACAAGCATACAGGGATGAAGACTGGGCTATCTATCAAATGTTACAGCAGGGAGCTATTGTTGTATCAGCTCTACATGGGATTCTTAACAGGCAACTAGCAATTACAAGTCTCTTACCCCAATAATTACAGGTACAAGAATATCTCTCGAACAAGATTATATTCTGGTTCTGCCAGATAGCTCATGTTTCTCAGAGTGCAATGCACTAACCAGAACAAATACTTCTTTCTTACCACTGAAATCAAAGTCTTAATTGGCTGGTCAGGTCTGTTTGCCATTGTGTCCATTAAAGGGGCTTGCACTTCTATTTTAGGTGGCAAGGAACCCAGACAAACTATGATTTAAAAAAAAAAATTAATGTTTTTTCTTAAAACAAGTTCTTTTTCAATGTGAACAAAGCATTCCACAGCACTTTCATTAAGGCTACAGAACTTATTCCCATAAACAACAATGGTAACTTCCAATGAGAAACAAAACTATTAGAAGTAACCATTACTGTGAGCTCTTCATAGAATATTCTAAGTATCACATGGAAGACCATGCTATTATTAGATGTCCTCAATATATGTTAGCAAATTAGATATTCTGGCAACTCTTTCTGTTGGAAATGTTTTTCTTGCTTATGAAAACTTCACTGTCTGAAATCCCAGCCTAATCAATCACTAGCTACTACAGTTAATTCTTCAGGAATTTTCTTGTCTTTCTCAAAATTAGAATTTAAAGCAGTCAGTTAAGAGCTAAATGGTAACTGGAAGGCCCAATATTCCCAGACTTTACAAAGCTTTACTTTTTCTGGCCTCTCAAACATGCATCTCCCCAGATAAGGCAGCTCTCCAATCCTGAAACATGCAAAAAGCTGGCCAAAGCTTAGAATATTATATCTGAAACACTTCCTCTCTGTTAAATGCAGGAGTAAAATGAATAAAAAAGGAATAAGGAATGTAGCATGATTCAGTCAGGATATCAAATGGCAACTGTTGTAAAAAGCCATCTCACATTTATGAATTCTGTTGGCAGATTATTTTGAACATAAAAGTAGTCTTTTTATCACTGAATAAAATCCTTCACCGTTGTTGTGAGTACCCAGACCCAGTACACACCTATTTAGGGCTAACAACTGATTCTCTCAAAGAATAATATCTCCCTGCTGTTACTGAGGCTTCTTACTTACCAGTTGGGACAACAGGATCCATTGTTGGCTTTTCCCAGGTATTGATCTGCTCCCAGGTAAATCCATTGGTTCCCAAGGCCACACTATAACCACAATTACTGTAGTGCTCATCAAATGAACAACCACCTAAAAACAACAAAAATATATTCCTGTATTAATTATTTATATCTTTTTATGGTAGGTCATTTACTTAAATATTTTGTACCCAAGTTTATGCAGGAAAAAAAAAAAGAAAAAATAACATTAGTTTCCTGCATATTAGATTTCAGGCAGCAGAGGAAGTACCAAGAAAATATTTTTGTACTTTCCACACTTTGTATCCATTAGAAGCCTTTGTTTTCGTCCCTCCATGCTACAGTTTCTTCGATCAGTTCCCTTCATTTCATCCTATTGTCTTTACGTTTTCAAGGACAATTGCACATGATCTGCATGTGCAGGAATATTTGCATTTGAGTCCCAGTTACTGATACTTAATTACATAAACCCCCAAGTCAGATATTAAAAAAAAAAAATGGAAGAATGCAAATGGTAAACAAGCACAGTATCATTGATCCTACAGTGAATCCTCACTTCTTTTTGCTTTTAAGCCTTGAATTACACAAGGTTGGGTTACACCTACAGAAAGCGCAACCTTCCTTTTAACCATCTCTTAATGCCTAACACCATGAAGCTCTGTGTGGCATGTGACCACTCCTCAGGGTCTTTCGAGTCAATACTTTTGACTGCAATCCTCTAGTTGCAAGATAACAGGAGAATAACAAGAAGTGGATGGCAACTAGCATTCACACCTTCCAGACTGTTGACTAAGTGATCTTCCCTACTGCAATTCCTGAAATACTTGGAAGTAGTTAACTGTCATAAATAACCTGGCAGCTGCCTGAACAATTGTGAATCAAGGGAAACCACAAACAGCGGAATAAGATTTTGTATTCCAATGTAGATCTTTGAAACTTGTGTCATGCAGACAAATGAAGTTAATTTATTCCCTGGTAGGATACTCCTACGCTAGTGTCCCTTATGTTACCTTAGGCACATCCCTCTTCACGTCCACCCAACTTATCTACCAAACATATTTCAGTACTGTATCCATTAGATCAGGCAGTCTAGGTCCTTGAATTTAGACCTTAATCATGCCAACGCAGTATTTCTGTACTGCTTTCGTTTTCTCTCTTAGGGAAGCAAGGATAATTTTTCTCTGCACATACTAGTCCTCCAAAGTCAACTGGACACATCCAACACTTCAGAGCTGCAAGGACTGAGCAAGGCTCAAGGCAACACAAACTTGCTCTGCCAGCCAAACTGCCAATTGCTCTTGACACTAATCAGAGTTATACGCACAGAGGTGTTCCTGACTCTTTACTCCTTCCCACAGGCTGCAATGCCCACACACACACACAATAAATAGCTGGTACATGAGTGATCTGCAGTTCCTTTGCAATACGGATTATCCAAGGTCAGGAACATTGAAGCTTTCTTTAGTTTTTACGTGTATTTTCTATTCTCCGGCTCCCAAGAAAGACCAAACTTGTCTTAATTCCTATGGAACTCCTCATATATGACAAACAAATATATACAGTGTCAATATTTATTAAATACTTATTCTGTTAAAAGATTTCACGCACACTACAAGTGGTTTTCTAAGTCGTTCTACAAAACTTCGTAAGTATATACTAGAAGGATTTGTTCAGTAGAGTACCTGACATCCCAAAGTACTCTGTTGCTAAAGGAAAGTTTAAAGATCAAGCTTGTCCTAAAAAAAAAAACCCACAATTTAATTTAGTATACTGTATATTTTCATTATAAATAGCTCTGACTATAGATGGATTTTATGACCCTTGCAAGCTTTCCTGTCTGTTACAATAGTCTCTGCAAATATTTCTGAAGTGTCATTATTTTACAGTATTTTAGTAATTCTTGCTTTAAATTTGCTCTACCTGTGAAGCTTTCCCAGCTGTCAAAATAAGCAGGATTACACTTAAACCGTTTCCCTGGTTTTTTAAATTTAATTTAGGTGAAAATATTTTCACCTTAAAATATTAAACATGCTTATTAAAATGTCTAAGGGAAAATAAAGGTGTTTTGGATTGTGTGCGAGTACATAACGCCACTGAAAGTCACCTTTCTCCCAGAAAGAGGGTATGAGAGACAGTATCATATACTCTGCTCTCAGTCTCCAAGCCGTGCATTCTAATTTTGATAGATTCACTTTAATAGCACCACTTCAGACATAACGCCATTTCCACACAAACGCTGTTCAGCATAACACAGCACACAATACTGGTACTGTCTCTGAGCTATTACTTTGAAGGGATTGTAAACAAATTCCCTGATCAAGCCAGACAATTGTACGAGGCCTCGTGTACACACAGAAAATTGCACAGGTGCTGCTACAAAGTCCCAGAAGCAAAACAAGCAATAAAAGCAAAATATAGGATAGCACTCCTCATTTAACAGGGAATGTACTTGTCAATATCTTGGTATAATCAGTTAAATAGCTTATTACTGAGGTAGGTAAAGTCAGAGGAGGAGCTGAAAAGGGGATTTGGTGAGAACTTCTGGAAATTAATTGGGAGTTGCCACTGATAAGAGACAACACCTGAGGAAGCTTTAAAATGCCTTGTCTGAAAGTTAAGGCTAACCTTGTAGTACAAACGGATAAGAAAGGAAAGGATAAAACCGTGAAGAGCCTTAAAAGTACCAGCAAGACACCTACTTTTTAAAGAAAGAAAAGGGTAGTGGAGAAACCTCCAAACACAGACTGACAGGGCAATAAACCAGAAGGATTAATTTACTGGAAGCAACGGAATTGGAATTTGGAGAGGTGAATTTGCAGGAAATGAGGACAAGGAGAAAAAACTGGAGTCAATGTTAAGGGCTCTGACAAGCAGGCTGGCTGCATGAATCTCGGGTACCAAGAGGAGGGAAATCTCCATCCACTTCTTGCTATAGTGTGACAAAAACCAGCAGAACTAAAAGTGAAGTAAAGATTCAGCTAGGACCCAGAACCATATTAACTTGTGAGCCAAAAAGTCAGCAACTCCTCTGTTAACACTATTACAGCACACACTGTATTATGGAACAGGAAAGCCATTTCAGAAAGTGTGAGGAAAGAATCACAACATCCAGGATATCACAGATTTGGGGGTTACTCTAATAGTCATGGTGGCTTGTGTTTGTATCTGCCAAACAAGTGTATCATAGGTGGTCTTAGTCCTCCCTTTTTTGCAGAAGATGGCAGACGTGACATTACACCTTCAGTTCCAGGCAACCACGTTCAGAAAAGCATCCGTAAAATTTCCACCCAACCTCACCTCAGGAATTCTAGACCCACCACGCCCTTCCTCCTTCACTGACCTTGCTGTCTGCACGATGGCTTCTCACACAATTCCTCTCCCCGGCATTCTGCCCGGTCCCAGACACGCTTCCCAGCGGGGCGGAGGGGCTCAGCCGCCGCCCGCGGGGCCCTGGGGT